TGTCCCATTGGTCTATGAATGATCTAAAGCATTAGTCTTTACTAATTCAGATTAGCTTTGTAAAGATCTAGTAGAGTGCTGTATGAATGGATAAATGAGGGCACAGGTTGTAAAGTAAATCACTTGAGTAGATAGAAAGGCGCTAGTCCATTTAGTCCACATAGTCCAAGCACAGTCCATTTACCATTTACAAAAAAATTATAAAGATTATTAAATAGACTGTACTTATATAGCGCCTTTCTATCTTATTGAGATACTCAAAGCGCTTTACACTACAATCTGTGCCCTCATTTACCCATTCATACAGCACTCTACTAGATCTCTACAAAGCTAATTGAACAAATCATTTTAAAGAGACTAATCAGAGCTTTATCACATTCATACACTGATGGGACACATATCGGAGGCAGTGAGGGGTTCAGTGTCTTGCCCAGGGACACTTCGGCATGTGACTGCTGGTGGATTCGTACCCCCAACTCTTGCATTGGAGGACGACTGCTCTAACCACTCAGCCACAGTCACCCCTAAAGTTTTTAGTATTTTTTTTAGTATTATAATTATATTTACTTTGCTATTTTTACTACAATTATATCACATAAATCAAATTTCCTGTAGTGATTAATATTTTTATGTACAGTAGTCCCTCAATTATCGCGGGCATGTCTGGAATGTAACCCCAATTGTAACCCAATAATTGAGGGTGAAAATCTGCAAAGTAGGGATGTTATATTTATTTTAGTATTTATATTTTAAGGTTTTATAAACTCTTCCCACACTTTTGCAATGTCCTTAACAATGTTCTAAACCAGGGCTATTCAACTGGTGGCCTGCAGGCCACTTCCAGCCCACAGGTGATTTAGGCCCACAGGTGATTTAAACTTGGTTTATTTACATAATGACTTTAATTGCTGGATGTCCGGCACTTGAGCTGCTGGCATTCAGTAACTGTGGCCCCCTGAGAAGTTGTGCTGAACAGCCCTGTTCTAAACTCTCTGATGCTCTAAAAGAGCACAGCGAAAGAGAGCAGACAGACTGATGCAGTTAATTAGCCAGTCATGGGGTGGACTGGCCATCGGGAGTACCAGGATATTTCCCGGTGGCCTGGCCCACTCAGCCACTCTCTTTTTAAAAACTGATTCACTCTTATTTTTCCACCCAACCATTTTCTCTGATATTCTACATTTGTTCATCTGATCTGTTCATCCCTGCTCCCTGAGCAGTAGCAATGGGGACAGACAGACCCCACCCCACCCCACCCCCTCCTTTCTCTTTCTGAGGCTGTTTGTCACAGCAGAGCAGAAACACACAACAGGTTGTGCTCTCGCCTGTTGTGTGTCTCTGCTCTGCTGTGACAAACAGCCTCAGAATGAGAAAGGAGGGGTGGGGGCGATGTCTGTCTTTCTCCATTGCCAATCGTGTGTTGTGTACAATCTTACGTTGAAAACCCGCGAAAGAGTGAGTCCGCAAAAGTCGAACTGCGAAGTATCGAGGGATTACTGTATGTTTATAGTTCATTTTTTTAATATTGTTCTTTTCACAGATTAAATTAAAAATAAATAAATACCAAGCCACTGCTTAAAACATACCTTCAACAGTTATAGCTGGCTCAGGTTTGGGAGTCACACCTGAAAATATAAAAAAAAACATCATCAAAGGAAATCTAAACTAAAAGTAAAAGCATATTATCACCACTCTGACTGAACTTTTACCTTTTCGTATCTGGCAGATCCAGTCGTTATAGTTCTCGCAGAATATATCATTCCAATGACGTCCATAGGAAAACTTCATTTCTGCACAATGTTCGTTGTCGTTGTAGTTGTTTGGTTCTCCAAAGCCCCAGTTCTCAAAGCCAAACTAGGCCAGAGTTTTTTGAAAGATACAGGATTAGGCCATGGTTTATAATGTCAGGAAGCAAATTTTGAAGAGATATTACGTACAGGTGAGTCATCACTCCAAACATAACCTTCGTTGGCACCCTTTAGTCTGAGGCCTATCCAGACATTGGAGCCAAACATTCTTCAAAATGAGTAGAAAGCAAAAGATTACTATGATCACTTGAAATGTCTGGTATGAGCTTTGACATGTACACAATGTTAGTATAAGCTAGCATACGGTAAAGTTTTAAGGTCCGTCATACTGTGTATGCTCATCAGGTCTCCACCTATGACCTTACAGAAGTCCTGTGCTTCCTGCCAATTTTTCTGTTGTTCTTTCATTTTGGTGTAAATCTTTAAAACAAGTGAAATAAATAGATATGTTTAGTTTGCAAGTTTTAAAACAACACTAATTTCACAAATGACCTTAGTTTGTTCTCCTACTTTGTAACAAGTATTCCTTTCGGCAATGGGGGTCCATCCAGAAGCACAGCTCAGGGCTGGGGTGATAGGGGGAACTGTGGTCATTGGTGCACCCTCAGCCAGCTTCTTGCAAATATACTTCTCTTTACTGCTGCAGCTGACTACATCCCATAAGCCAGCAAAAATCCCGGTTGTCATGGCAACACATCCTTGTTTTCTGGCTTTTGGTGAATGTATCAGGATACAGAAGAGAACAAAAAAAAAAAACCCACAAAGATTCCAGTTAATTAAGGCAACGATTGTCAAAGGAATGAGATTTTAGATTAAATAAAGAGGGACAATTTTTAAAAAACTTCAAAATTTGTAACTAGTAGCTTTCTGTTCAAGATAAAGGAAAAAAAAGTGATGTATAAATTTACTTTAATACTACTACGTTTTATTTAACTCCAAATAAAGAGTAAGAACATTTGCTCTACCTGGCATGCCCACATTGAAATGAGTGAAAGTGACTTTTCTTTTCGTTGTCCATTCAAAGGTATGTTTGTCTTCCATGTTGGAAAAACCTGTCCAAAAATACTTCTCTGGTCTCAGTCCCACCAAACTGACGAGAAAAGCATTCTCATATCTGAATAAAAATGTAAAAACTTTACATTATTTCAGGACAAAACCTCGGGTGTATTCTGGTTGATCTTTTTTTTTTGGTACATTAATTTTAAAAAGTGTTATATTTTGCATGCAAAACAAAAAAGACAGAAACTATAACACTTATTTTGGTTGTACACAAAATCTTGAGTCACAAGTTAAGATAACAAGATAAATATTAATCAATACCTATCCGCCACATCCACAAGGTTAGCTCCAACTTCTGAGCATGCTCGTTTTGCTTCTTCAAAAGTTTTGGTTTCTGCTCCAATCTTATAACAGTATGAGCCAAATCTGGCAAAGCCCTGAGAAACAAATGCACTGTGATGCACTTAAGCTGATGCTATGTTTTATAATCCAGTGTTATTGACAAGAAAGCACTAAACTCACAAGCTTGCATCCTGGGTTGACCTCCTCTTGAGCACCTTCAGCTGGTTTTGTGGAGCCTTTCTTCTTACAGATATACCCATACATCCTTTCACACGTGTGATCTGCCCACTTTCCATCCTGTAGGAGAGATTTACAGAGTTTTAGTAGCTGCAAATAAATTGTACTTTTACATTAGAATAATAATGGTTGTTACCTTTCCCCGAATGAGGACACAGTCTTCTTGGTGGTTGATGGCGTGAGAAGGCTCATCACTCTGCCACTGGGTAAAGGTGACGTGGGAGTGATCGGACCATTCAAACAGCATCTGGTTCCTCTGATCATTCAGACCAATCCAGAGCACATCTGTCTTTGCTGAAGTGTGAAATACAGATAAATAAGAAAAAAGTTGTACAGTAGATATAGTTTAATCTTTTAGATCACTCTTTTTTTCTTTATTTTTGGCTTTAAACAATGTGTATTTTTAATAGCATCAATATATGAAACCAATGTAAAAGAGTTGCCTGTATGGAAATGTATTGCTTTAAACTGCAGCACTCCTCAGCTGCTTTTTTTTAGGCTAATAAACTTCTAATGCATTTAAGAACAAGTTATGGACAAAACATTGATATTAAAAAGCCAGGTTCTGGTTAGCATTTACAAAAGGGATGCTAATTCTAAATGTTTCAGACTGAGTTTAGTGTCTTCTTCAATATTAACGTAACAAAGTGATGTGTAATACTGCAAATTTTTGTGTCAACACTTTTTCTATAGCAGTGTACTAAAAAGAGGAGAGTGAAAGACAGCGGCTCATTCCTTCCCGCAGGTCAAATAATCCAATAATTAAGCATTAGGTATGTTTTCTTATAGGTGATTTACAAAAGTAACTGAATTCAATCCAGACTTTTCTGTTCTGCCAAGGTGTCTCAGGCAGTTTAGGGAATGTTTCTTATGAAGTAATTCACCTTAATGTTACTTTGAGGGAAATAAAAGATCCATAATACAGAATGCATGTTAAGTTCAATTAGGAGGTACAAAGCAGAAGATGTAAAAATGTTGCTATTTCAATGTTTTTCTAAGACAATTTAGTTGTCTTGAAACCATTCAGAGGACCTGACTTAACCTTGTTGGATTTTCTACCTGTATTAGTGAGCATGAATCAGGATATTTTGAACCACTTTGGCAATGAGTGCCTCAAACGAGTCAGCGGGGGAGAGGGCGGACTTAAGAAACCATCTGAGCACCATCAAAATGGTTGACCCACTATGTGACGGTGCTACCTATAAGACTGAGATTATTGTGTCTCCTTGGACTAATGAAGTCTTTTGGATGAAAGACGCAATGTTTCAATAAAAATAAACCATCCAGAGGACCTGACTTAGCTTTGTTGGATAAGACTATCTGCTTTTTGGTTTTGTTCTTAAAATGACAAATATGGTCAGAGGTTCCATATTTTTGTGAACTCACAGTATCCAGTCTGAGAAATGATGAAGCTCTGCTCCTCTATATTGTGTATGCTGGCCAAATCTGCTCCGTCCTTGCGGCACGCAGCCAGAGCATCCTTCCACATCTTTTTATTCCTCTCCAGGTAGTAACAGTTTCCTCCATAAGGAACCCAATGACTGGGGCAAAAGCTGGGCCCTTTACCTGCAGATAGAAACAGAAGGAACTAAAAAAACGTCCAGCTAAAGGTTTGAACTGAAAAAATTGAGCTTTGAAATTAAACCAGATTTTTGTAAAGGTAGATATATTTACTTGGTGAAGGAGGCAGACTCGTTGAGTTTCCTTTGCGACAAATAAAACCAAGTTTTTTGTTGCAGGCGCTGCTCTCCCATTTTGAGGCTTTTGCAGCATTTAACGCTGCACAAGTGAGTCCTGGCTCCGAGGATGGTTGGCCTGTTGGATTCATTTATAATAAGTCAAAAAAACATAACTTTCTTTACACCGGTTTTAATTAAGCATCTAGTTAAATGATTTCAACACTAACCAGGAGCCCAGTTTAAATATCTGAATGGGTTTCCATTGCTCCACTGCCATCCGCTCTCAAAATCTAAACTGTTCAGCCCAATCCACAGAGAACTTCCCACCTGATTTGTTAGCCCTGTGCAAGCACATTAATTAAAGATCAAATATTAGCCTGAAGCATTGCAAGCAGCATGATTTGGTGCAGGCAGAAGGTTAGCGTTGTACCTGAAATGTACGACTGTTCATGTAGCTCTACGATGCTGAGGAGGTCCGCTCCCTGCTGCTGGCAGCTCACCCTGGCCTGATGCCACGTCAGCGCTGCCTGTGTGTTCCTCTGATACTGAACCCCTGTGACTGGGTCTGTGTCCCAACCATACGATGCTGAATATTAACAAATGCACACGTTTGCAAGTTAGAACACATGAGAAGATTCACATCGACTAGTAAATATATTGAATCACAATTCAGGGAAAAGAAGGAAGTAAAGGTTGCAGAGTGTAGCAGATGCATGGGGTCAAACACTGCATTCCTCACACATACCTCCAGTTGTACAAAACCCCCACTTCTTCTCTTTTTCATAATCTCTCGCTGTTGCACACCATAGCTGCCCATCTGTGCGACCTTCCTTTGTGCATTCAGCGTACCATTTCTCCTGGAACTTAAATGGGAACTGACAAGGTGCTCCAAACGTATTGCCACCTAGGGTGAAAATCTCTGAGCAGACACAAATGATAAGGTTGCAGAAAGTAAGACCAGTATCCATGGTTCATTTAACATTGCTTCTATTTGACCTCTTGTGGGATTTCCTAACTCTGGGTGAGAAGGGATCACCAACAAATCCAGTCTGGAGATCTTAGGAGATGCTAGATGAAGGTGTTGGTTTCATTCTGTGCATCTAGAGTTTTGAACTCAAACTGTTTAAAGTCCTTTAGTCAAAACTACAAGTTAGTGAATCCAGTTATACCAAATGTTTCTGATGTGTGGATAATCAAACCATTCTGGTCAATAAAATTTCATCAGGTTAAGTTCATTAAAATGTTCTAGTAAAATGTTGTACTCTCATACACATGTTTTAATCAGCTGCTTTTACATTGAATTGGATTTAACAAACAAACAAAGGATGAAAGCATCAAAACCCACAAAGAAAAAATCTCCATGTTTCACTTCCTATAATTTTTGTGCAGTTTTGTTTAACTTTAAACACCTAATTTCTCTGTCCTGTGTCCACATTTCAAGGATGGAAGGTGTAGAGACCATTTATTTTGAAAGGTTTAGACCATTCTATGGATTTAATGCACTTCTAGAAAACATGTTTGGAACAGTATTATTTATCTTTACCTTCAGGTCAGTCATAAACTTTCAAAGTGAATAAACAAATATTACAAAATGAAATATAACTTTATCAGAATATACTAAACTGCATTTAAAACATGCTTTGTTCTACAAATTAAAACACACAAACAAAGTTGGACATAAAGTTTCAACTTATCGGTGACGTTCACTCATAAATGCTCATAACTTTTATAAACGATGAAATGGCATATAAAGTATGCCCAACATGGTTTCATAATACACTTATTTTATATGAGCAAAAATACGTACTGACAGAAAATATCACGTTTAATTTGAGAATCTCTAGTTCACCCTCTTGAAGTAAAGAGTTGCTACTTTTCATTTAAGTCCGAGTATAAACCTACAGCTCTGAGTAGGCTCACTTACTTAGTTGTTAGCTGAGAGATGTATCCCCCCATAATCGTTATACTTTAAAAGCACTTTAAAAATTTCCAGTTTTCCGCCACAACAGATAATACTGATTTGTTATTTGCAGACTCAAAAGTCTTACCTTGATACCCCTTTGAACAAAGGTCCCCCTGAGAGCCAAATATCCTCCAGCGACTCCATATCCCTGAACCTTTGTAGATCATTATATTCCTCTCCTTGAAGTTACCCCAGTTCAGGTGCAGGTCCTGGTCTTTAAGGCCAAAGAGGGTCTCATTCCTGCACTGCCAATGCTGAAGAACACTGCTCTCGTCGCATTCGAAGAGGAGCACCTTCACCCAGTCTTTTATCTCTGCAGCACCCAAACACAACTTGAGGGACAAACTAAGGAGGCGAGATTCAGAGGCCCATCGAAACTGCTGCCCCTTGGCATGGGGGTCACATCGATCCAAGGTTACTGATGTGGCACTCTCTACCTTTATGCATTTGTTGTGGTCCTGGTTAAAGATGAGGAAGATGCCACTGTCTGGAAATAAAGCACATATTATAGTGCTATGAAAGTCCAAAACAGAAATATGAAAAATGTCTATAACTTACCTATATTAGCAGTGATGCAGAGGACTTCCAGGAGACAAAGAACCACTGCAAGTTTTGACCAAGATAACATCCTCAGCATGCTGTTTGGGTTCAGTGGTGGGTGCTGCTGTAAGGCAGGTTTCCAGTCATGAGAGCAGAGATCTGGTGTGTGTAAAGGTTCTTGACAGGGTGCAACAATGACCCAAAGCCTTAGATTTTCTCTCCTCTTAATCACAGTGATGAATAATATCCTGTCACATGGGTAAAGGTTGGTCAGACATCTGTGACTTCCACAAGCTTTCACTACTTTTTTGACAATGAAGGGGAGGAAGTACTTCTTCACTGCCAAACAGACATGTCAGCTTCCAATATGTGGTAGGGAAACTTTATTCCAGGGGAAAAACAAAGACTGTATGATGCTTTTCAGTAGTAATTCATCAAAGTATTGACTTTAAATTGAAAATATTGTAGTCATTCACTAAATGGCTTGAGGTAAATCCAGAGATCAAATGTCATTCAACAAATCTAACTTCTTCACTCTGAAGAAGTCTTCTGGATAAAAGACGAAACGTTTCAACAAAGAAGAATCCGTCCAGAGGACCCGACTCAACCTTGTTGGATTTATCCACCTGAATTATAAGTTGCTTGACAAGTTCATAATTTGTGTGGAGGAGTGAGTTAAGAGTTTTACTGCACTTTGCTGATCTAACAGTTTTTTGACAGGACCCACTTTCCAATGTCTGTTATGCTTCAAGTTGAGTTGCAGAAAATATTCAAGTCAGTAAATGGAGAGCAGGAGGAAATCCTGCTTCCTGCTGGGGGAAGTTGGAGAAGACCTGACCACTGCGACCTTCTAACTCCAGAAATGCCCTGAAATGCTAGAACATGGATACAGTACCGAGGAAAGCTGGCTATGTTTATGTAGGAAACTTGTTCCCTGTATAGCATATGACTAAATTAAACTGGGATTTTGTTGTGTTGAATGAAAAGGAAAGCACAAGTAATGTCCCATGTCTTTTCATGAATCTTTATTTTATCCAGATGAGTGTTAGTGGGATTTTATTAGTCTTGTCTGAAGAATGAAAAAGCTTTCTTCTTGATTTGATGGAGCAATATCCCAGATGTCAAGAGATTAGACACCTGGGAGGGGAGGTGTACTTATTTCATTAAGTCCATGTAGCAGAGAAACTTCCTCTTTGGGTGATCTCTGTGGCTCACTGTTTTGTGGTCTCTGTGGTACTGCTGTACTGGTCCATGGCTGTCGTTAATACTGCAACTGAGACAAAGGTCAAGAGAAATGAGTTGTAGACATCTCTCGACCTCTGTCTCAGCTGCAGTATAAACCTCTGATGAGATCATTAGAGGTACAGCACAGGTTGAACAACTGGGAGATAAAGTTAGAGGCAAGACTGAGATGGTTTGGACATGTCAAGAGGGACAGTGAGTATATTGGTAGAAAGATGTTAGAAATGCAGCTGCCAAGAAAAAGACAAAGAAGGCCAAAGAAGAGATGTATGGATGAAGTTAGAGAGGACATGGAGGTAGTTGGAGTGAGGACAGAGTGAGATGGAGGAGGATAACACTGGTGAACCCTATAAAAGGAAAACGCCAAAAGAAGAAGATTGCGTTGGAGATATTGCTCTGGAGCCATGTTTAGTTACATCCAAAAAAACTACAGTCCAACTTTTTGCTGTGTGTGTAATTGCACCATAAATAACCCATCTGATAATCTAAGGAATGAGAAAGTGATAGTTAAGTGTGTGCTGTTAGTTTTAGGTGGATACCAGTTTATTTGGCCCATGGCCATCACCTAGCTTCCATCATCTGGTTCCTGGCAAGTCTATATTTTTCTATAGATTGCTTAAGATGTATCTTGATTCTCAACAACAAATCTTAGTCTAATTGCAGCATATATAGAAAAATACTTTTACAAGACCTTGTGCCTTTTTTATGGCGAGAGTGGCTGTTATCATTGTGCGCCACCTTGTATGAACTCCCTTAAGTTCAATCTGTTAAAACTACAGACCGTTTACAGTACACCATCTTTGAATATTTTTAATCAAATATACTGACCGAAAACTCATAGATGCATTTGATAATGTACAAATAAAATGAAAAACTGGCCTCAAACTCTTATCTGAAGTCATATTAAACAAATTATGATTGTGACCTTCTGTTTGTACATTTATAAAACTGCCAATGAGGAACATAAGAGGACCACATGTCTGATCACAAGCAGAAGAACACAACAAAAATGACTATGTTTATGAGATTCTGTTTGAGTATTTTTGTTATTTCACCATATTTGTACATTTTCTCACCCAGAGACTATAAGGACATTAGAATTGAACAAACTTCTGGTTAGAAATAGCTAAAACTTTTTATTTTGAAAAGAATCCTGACAAACCAACTGGCTATAGTTTAGATTGATGATGTATAGCTCTCTCATAACTGGTACAAATATAAGCATATTATACTGTACACATAAAAAAAACCCAACTTCAAGTTGTTTTGGTTAAAAGACAAGATTAAAAACGTTGTAAACACAACAGGTCATAACTTTTTATTTAAGTGCCATTAATTTGAAAATGAGCTTGCAGTGGCAAGGAAAAATGATTCATCATTTGATATGTGGTCTGTGAAGTCCTTTTAGCCAAAAAATAAAGTATATGTGTTTACAGATTTTAAGATTTATTTTGTTTTTTCCACTTTCTACTCCGTTCTGCTACTACTTTTTCTACTCTGTTTTTGACGGAGTCCTTATTCTCCTTTATGAAAATGAAAAATTTGACTACAAGAGAAAAGTAAAATATTTTAAAAACGTATCTTTTATTACCAAAATAAACAAGACATTCGTAAAAATATTCTCATGTGTCTTAGCTTAGAAAATTAATTCTCACAAACAACAAATTTCCCTTTACATGTTCACTGCACCTTAAAATGGTAGAAAAATATGCAATTATCTTTCAAGTGGCATCACAAATAAGTTCTAAAGTGCCATTCTTGCTGAGCGTGAGGGGAACTGGAAGGTAAACAATATGTTTAAACATTTAAGTAACAAAAAAATACAAAATTAATTTAACACAAATGGAAATGTCAATGCTTTTCCATTCTGTCAGTTACTTATAAAATAACATTTTAGTATGCAATATACTGTAGATCATATTTCACATTTCAATTACTGAAATGTCATGCAATTATATAATGTTTTAATTAAATTTATTTTATATTGCCCTTTTTGTGTGTTATTTTAAAGTAGTTTATTAGTTTTATTTGAGAGAAGCTTAACAGGATTTTTTTTATATTTTGATGTGGGGTTTTGAAGACAAAGGTGTTAATACCTTACCTTGATGGCTTTTTGAATAGTCTTAGTTTGGAGAAAAAAAAATTGGACTAAATTAAGCTCATCACTAGTCCAGTTCTGGCTAAGATCAAAGTGGATTGCTGCCATCTTAAAACAACGTCACTCTCAAAAATGTCATAGTAGTTCATGTGATCACTATTTTTTGTAAACCAGTAACACTGCCATCAGTTCTGTATTACATGTCACAGTTGCTACAGCTAGCTGCTGCTATTTGCATTTGCAAAAAAAACAAAAAAAAACAAAACAGAATTCTAAGTATATAACCATAAAATGCTAAGTTCATGCTCAATAATCCAGGTAAAAATCCAACAATGTTCTGTGAGGTCATCTGGATGGTTTATTTATTATTTTTTTGCTGAGACGTTTCATCCTTCATCCAAAGGACTTCATCAATCTGAGAAGCCGCAAACAAACTGAGTCCCACAAGCAGGCATAGCTGCCTCAGAGGAGTTGATGGTGGAGAGGACGGGCCTCAGAAACCATCTTATCACCAGCAAACTTTTTTTTTTCCACTATAGAGTGTGCTGCTTGTGGGACTCAGTTTGTTTGTGGCTCCTCGGATTGATGAAGTCCTTTGGATGAAGGACAAAACGTCTCAGCAAAAAAAATGAATAAAAAAACATCCAGATGGCTTGACTGAACCTTGTTGGGTTTGTAAAATAGTGTTTGACTGAACCGCTATGAAAATTTGGAGAATTAAGCTGTTTTAAGATCCAAGCCTCTTTGAGCTTGGTCATGCTTGAACTAGATGCTTGTCTGTCAGAATTAAACCCTGTTTCTCTCAATTGTAGTGGTTCAAAGAGCTGTCTACAACAAGTAAGGTAATAATTGTTCATTAAATTCATACAAAACCTGTCTTTAAAAGATCTGAACTAATACTATAATAAATAAATCAAATAGCAGTTGGACACACAGTACATACCCGACCACCTGACAGCTATCTGGGATAAACATGTAGGAATTTTATGCAACAACTAGTTTAAGTTCATCCCATTTTAGTTTTTTGTTGTTGTTTTTTTTACTATCAATACTAAGTTCAAACTCATAAAGAGCTGGTACAACCACCTTCTGAAATCCATCAGGCATTTTTTTTGTGTCCCAATGCCTCTTTCAGTGTTGCACTGTTTGTCCTTGCAGCATTGGTCTCAAAAGAACATCCTCTCGGTATTGAAGACCCTCAGCTTGGTCATGAAGTTGAAATAGACAAAGGCCAGACAGACCAACAGGTTCTTCATCAGGTAGAGGATAGGTGTGACAAAACCGAAGAGGGCAATGAGGCCGATGCGCACAAAGAAGAAGGGTAAGTCCTGTAGGGCCACCCCCAGAGAGGACAGAAGGGGTGTGTTGGGCATGACAACCACACGAAGGCAAGACATGTAGCTGAAGATGTAGATGGGAAAAACCCAGCCTGAGTAGTAGACCAGAGGATGTCCGGCCACCCTCACCATCTCCACTGTATCCATCCAAAACATGAAGCTGTCCACAAACACGTCAGCCCGGGCGTCGCTGACACACAGGAACCTCAGAGGGCCCGTGTAGGTGTACGGAGATATCCGATACGCTGCAGTGCTCATTGATCGTGAACTCAGCCCAACATTGAGAGGCCTGCCAGGGGTCGCTGGTATCCCAGAGACTGTACCATTGATTTCTGGTCGAGCTCCCGCTCCATTCTGGTTCCTGTCATTGAGCTGGTTTGCTCGAGGCTGCATGGGAGCGGGCACACCTTGCCCAGGCAC